ATTGATTGACTGAGTGCCTTGGAATGAATTATTTATAAATAATAATAATATAATTATATAAAAGTACTAGAACTGAACTATAATGTTTTCCTAGGGCGAGGGATACCAATAGTTGGTGCTTTTGGAATTTAGAGTAAGAGGCTTTAGATAGTTTCAGGCACACAGGACGCCCTTCCCAGAGGCGTGGCCTTGAACTGTAGTTCAAGAATGGATGGAATGTAGGTGGGCAAGAGCACCAGAGAAACGTCAAGCTGAGTTAGATATTTGTCAGTAGGGTTCTCTTGGGCCTCTTCTAAAGTCTACTCATAAATTTATCTCCACAACCCATCTTTATCTGGTTTAGTGTCTAAGAAAACTGACAGGATTTGAGGACTCAAGCTCAGTATGGCTTTATCAGGCAGGAGGTCAGACAGACCTCTAGTGGAGGAACCATCAGTCTTTAAGGAATAGAGAAGTGGTAAACACTTTACCAACTGAGCTATTTCCTCAGCCCAGGAACGGAGAAGTGAGAGCAGATGTGGGGTGAAGAATTGAAATATCTGATGTGCCCTTGGGTATCATGCTAAGGATTTATCCTAGGTGCAGTGGGAGTTAGGTCAAGGTTGGTGCTGACCAGTGCTATAAAAGTTGGTTGGTGCAGTAGTTTAGGAAGGAAATGACAGAGGCTCTACTACTGGGAGGTCTAGACTTGATATCCTCCTCTGGTGTCTTTGCTCTTGTACTGACCTTGGATCCCACTGGACTCTTGCTTTCAGCTCCCTGTTGTCCTAGTGACATTAACCCAGTGTTGGTGTCCAGTGACAGAGTCGAGATTGTCTGGTCTCCTGTCCGTGGTGCCGAACTCTATGAAACCGAGGCTAAAGCTGGACATAGTGTGGTGGAGTGCAACAACACTGCTCCTGCCTGCACCCTCTCGGCTCTGGAGTGTGACACTAAGTACAACATCACAGTGTATTCTTTTAGTGAGGTCCGGGGCAGCAATCTCTCCTGCTCTTCCCACTTTATCACTACAGGTATGGTGGTACTGCTCTGTTGTCATTCACCGGTGTCATTCCTACTATGTACCTCAGGACACCCATTCTGCAAGGCCTACAGAAAATGAGGTTGGAGAGATGGCTCAGCAGTCAGGAGCACTTACTTCCCTGTCAAGGCCACTCACAACTGACCATAACTCCAGCTCCAAGGGATTTGGCCTCAAATGGGCACTGCTGGCCTCAGTGGGCACTGCTCTCATGTCCACAAATCCACACTCACACACATATATACACATAACTAAAAATAATACACTCTCAAATTTAAAAAAAAATACATTCTCAAAAAAGCCTACAGGAAGTTAAATCCCATTAACCACTCTTTGTGGAAATCAGTAACTTTTATAGAATTGAAGAGAGGCAAAGAAGAAAGTAGAAAAGTGGGAAGAAGCCAAAAGCAAAGATTGTGGCAAGACAGGAAGGTTTTGGAGCTGGAGAATGACTCAGCGGTTAAGAGCCCTGGCTACCCTCATAGATTGTAGAGGACCCAGGTTTGGTTCCCAGCACCTACATGATGACCAAGAACCATCTGTACTCCAGTTCCAGAGGATTCAGTGCTCTCTTCTGGCCTCCACAGGCATTATATGGATATGATACACTTATGTACATGCAGGCAAAACACTCATATATGTAAAAAATAAATAAATGACAAAATCTTTTTTAAAAATAGGGGAAGAGAGGAAGGTTTTGTCAGTGATTACTAACCTCAGCCATCAGGTTCCTTCTGACTAGAGACTGAATGCACACCATGAAGGTGTGCAGATGTTTGCCCTAGTTACTTTGACTTTTGGAGTTCACAATGCTCCATTTTGCAGGAACCTAATGCCCTATGTCAATATCAATAGTTTTCCACACAAAATTTCTGCGAACTTGGCCTATATACATGTATGATTAAAAACCATAATGATCTTTTTATTTAAAAAGTATTATTTTAGGCCAGGCGTGGTGGCGCACGCCTTTAATCCCAGCACTCGGGAGGCAGAGGCAGGGAGATCTCTGTGAGTTCAAGGCCAGCCTGGTCTACATAGTGAGTTCCAGGACAGCTGGAGCTACAGGGAGATCCTGTCTCAAAAAGACCAAAAAAAAAAAAAAAAAAAAAAAAGATATTCTTTTACCGGGTGTGGTGGCTCATGGCTTTAATCCCAGTCCTTGGGAGGGAGAGGTAGGCAGATCTCTGTGAGGTGAAGGCCAGCCTGGTCTACATAGTGACTTCCAGTTGGGCTGGGACTAGGGAAACCCTTTCAAAATCAAGCAAAACAAAAAAGTATTCTTTCACAATTTCAAATACATATAATGTATCTATCCCCTCATTATCCTCTCTTACGCCCATCAGATGATCTTTTAAAAAAATAATTATTGCTGAGCGTGGTGGCACACACCTTTAGTCCCAAGGTCAACCTGGTCTACATAGCAAGTTCCAGGCCAGCTGAGGCTACAGGGAGACCCTGTCTCAAAAAGACCAAGCAATAATAATTGTTACTATTATTATTTATTTATTTATATGTGTAAGAGTGTTTTGCCTGCATGTGTGTAAGTGCACCATGTGCATACAATGCCCACAGAGACCAGCAGCTAGTACTCTTAATTACTGAGCTGTCTCTCCAGCCCATCTTTGTTTTTTGATCCAGAGTCTCACATAACCCAGGCTGGTCTCTAACTATGTAGCCAAGGATTACTATGAACTCCTGATCTTCTTGCCTCTTCCTCCGAAGCTCTGGGATTCTAGGTATGCGCCACCATACCTGGTTTATGTGGAGCTAGGACTCAGACCCAGGGCTTTGTGCATGCCAGGCAAGCCCTCTATCAGGTTATCTTATTTTGGGATAGGGCCTCCATTTTAGACTAGATGGTACATGGGATGTCTTTAACTCAGGCTGTTTCAATTAATAATCTAAAACTTCTTAGCTCCTTGCAGTCCTGAAATAAAAAATATTTCGAAGGATGCATTCTCCATGATTAATGTGCACTGGCGAGCCACTAATGACGATGCCATTTACACAGTGACGGCCCAGGGACAGAAGGGGCTGTTCCAGTGTAGCAGCACAGGAGAGGCCTGCACCATTGGGGGCCTGCCCTGCGGGTCATTGTTCTCTGTCACTGCTGTGGCTGAAACTCTGGCAGGAAAGAGCCTACCCAGCTACAGTATGCCCCTGGAAACAGGTACGTAGCAATGTTGACTCAGCAGAGTTCTTAGGAATTTCTTTAAGACATGAAATTTACTTAATCTATCTTAAGTGTTACAGAAATACTGTAATACAGAGGCTGGAGAGATGACTCAGTGGTTAAGAGCACTGCCTGCTCTTGCTAGAAAACCTGGGTTCAGCTCCAAGCACTCATATGATGGCTAACAACCATCCCTAACAGATCCAGGGGATCTGATGCCCTCTTCTGGTTTCCTCAAACATTGTACACTACAGACACACTGAACATACATGCAGACAAAACACTCATACGGATAAAATAAAAATAAGTAAATAAAATTTATATTAAAAAAAAAAGAAATTGCTGGGCATGGTGCTAACACACTTTTAATCCCAGTACTCGGAAGGAAGAAGCAGGTGAATCTCAGTGAGAAAAGAGTGAGGCCAGCCTGATCTACATAGTGAGTTCCAGGCCAGCTGGGACTACAGGGAGACTCTGTCTCAAAACCCCCCAAAATAAATAAATAATAAATAAATAAATAAATAAATAAATAAATAAGAAATACTGTAACCCAGAGACCTTTCAAAAAGTCCCAGTCTTAGGGGAAAAAAAGGTTTTGACATTTTACACATTCTGTAAAAATACATCAAAAGAGTCTCATGTTGCCCTGCATTGGCATCCAAGGAGCAATACATTGACTCTGCAAAAACATTTCTCAGAATGTATGTTCTCCCAAGATACAGTCAAAACAGCTACCAAGTAACCAAACAAGCTGATTATTTATCTCTCTGGTTGAGCCCTTTCAACTCTTCCTCTGAAAAAAAAAAAAAAAAACTTTAGCTGGGTGTGGTGGTGCACGCCTTTAATCCCAGCACTCGGGAGGCAGAGGCAGGCAGAGCTCTGTGAGTTCAAGGCCAGCCTGGTCTACATAGTGAGTTCCAGGACAGCTGGGGCTACAGGGAGACCCTGCTTCAAAAAGACAAAAAAACAAAACAAAACAAAAACATTTTCTAAGTTTAATTTCCTAATCAGTAAGAAGCAGGTTGTGAGTACTCAGTTAATTATGCTGCAAAGCACTTAGCATAGTTCCTGGAGTATAGTAAGACAGCCATGACAGAAAACTGTTAATTGCGTCAGAGCATTGTGTTTGAATGACATTTAGCAAATTACTGAAATTACTTTAGACATTATTACTATTGTGTGTGAATAAAATTTAGCAAATTATGGGTCTGGGAAGTAGCTCAGTTGGTAGAATAATTGCCTATTTGTCCTAGTTAGCTTTCTCTACTCCTGCGATACTGTGACCAAAAGCAGCTTGGGGAGGAAAGGGTTTATTTAACTTACATGCCCATATCACAGTCCATCTTTGAGGGAAACCAGTGCAGGAGATCAGGGCAGAAATCTGGAAGTAGGAACTGAAGGAAGAACAGTATGTACTGGCTTGCTCTCCCAGCCGGTGCTCAATTTTCATTTATTTATTATTTATTTATTATTAATTACTATTATTATTTGCTTTGTTTTTGGTCTTTTTATTTGAGACAAGGTCTTCCTGTAGCTCCAGCTGGCCTGAAACTTGTTATGTAGACTGGGTTGTCCTCATTCTCACAGAGATCCACCTGCTTCTGCCTTCCAGGTGCTGGGATCAAAGGCATGTGCTACCACACCTGGCCTTCAGCTATCTTTCTTATACTTGGTCCACCTGCCTTCGGGTGACAACCAACCATATCAGGCCAGGCCCTCCCACATCACTCAACAATCAAGAAAATACCTTACAGTCATGACCACAGGTCAATCCCATAGAGGAAATTCCCCAATTGATTTTTCCCTCTTCTCAAGCGTGTCAAGTTGACAATTGAAGCTACCCAGCACACCTAGCATGTGGAAAGCCCTGGGTTGTGTTCCCAGCACCACATTTAAAACCTGATATGGCGATGCACCTGTAATCTCAGCATTCCGGAGATAGAGGCAGGAGGATCAAGGTCATCTGCAGCTACTTATTGATTTCAAGGCTGTCCTGGAATACATGAAACTCTATCTCAAAAAAAAAAAAAAGGTGGGGGGGGCTATATATTACCCACAGCATTCTTGGGAAAAACTCACTATATATAGATGATATTACAAGATGTATCACAGGATATAAACAGAAGAGCATTTTTATTAACAATAAAAAGCATGAGAAATTTAGGATTTTGAGTAAAATGCAGGCAAAGTCCTATTCTTATTTATTTATTTTTTATTATTGTGTGCATATGATGGGAGTGGGTAGAGATCAGAGAACAGCTTCTGGGAGTTAGTTCTTTCCTCCTTCCACTGTGTTCCCAGGGACCAAACTCAGGTTGTCAGGCTCACTTGGCAGTCGCTTTACCTGCTGAGGGATCTTGCCAGCCCCAGAGTCCTATTGTTGATTGTTTTTCACAAAGGATTTGTACAATAAAGCTTAATTCTTTTTTTTTTTTTCATTTAAGTTCCGTGCTGTCCAGCTGGTCTGACAGCAGCTCAGGTCACCCAGTCCACAATCAATGTGAGCTGGACTATTGGAACAGTGACCCAAACCTATGTGACAGTTCTGGAGTCACACATCGGACAATCTAAGTGTCACACACAACAAAACCACTGCCTCCTGGGATGCATTGCATGTGGCATCAACTACACAGTGGCATTAAAAGCTATTAGTCCCACTGGGCTGACCGCAGACTGTGCCCACCGAAGTTATTCCTCTAGTAAGTGAATTCTGAACTAGCTGCTGAGTATTGTTAAGGATTCCACTATTCATAATCTATGCTCATTCCTTCCTTCCAGTTTAATTATAACTTACCTTATAAATGAAGATTGCAGGCTGGAGAGATATCTCAGAGGTTAAGAGGACTGACTGTTCTTGCAGAAGACTGGGTTCAAATTCCAGCACCCACATGGAGGCTAACAACCGTTTTTAACTCTAGTTCCAGGGAATCCACACCCTCTTCTGTCCTTCACAGGCATTACACAACATGGTGAACTTACATACATTCAGGTGATACAGGCATACATATAAAATAAAAGAAAAATAAGAAACTTAAAACAAATGCAGATTACTTTGAGTGTGTGTGTGTGTGTGTGTGTGTGTGTGTGTGTGTGTGTATGCCACAGGTTGATGTCAGGTATCTTCCTCAATCACATATCACCTTATTTTTTGAGCCAGGGTCTCTCACTGAACATGGAGTTCAGTTATTTGTAGACTGGCTGTCCAGCAAGCCCTAGGGATCCTCCTGGCCCCACCTTCCCAACCCTGGGATTATAGGGACATGCCACCATGAAGCTGTGGTGCACAGCTTTTACATAGGTGCTAGGGATCAAACTCAGGTCTGCATGCCTGTATGGTAAGCACGTTCCTAACCTAGCCATCTCTGTAGCCCTATGAATGCAGATTTCTTTCTCTCATGTTTACAACTTTCCCCTTGACTTAACCTCAAAGCTCAGAGGTTTCTGCCAGTAGTTGGCGTATTGCTTCCCCTGGTAACAAGACTCAGGTATGTTTTGTGAAATGATGATTTTATTTTTTATGTGACACAACCACCTGTAGTAAAGAATAACTTTTGGCAGTTTCTGGAAAGCAGTAGCTCATATAGTTTACCTGGTTTGCAGTCTCTTCTCCTTGTTACCCTTGTGCTCTCTCCTTTCTAATCTGTTGAGCTCTTTCTATTTTTTCTCATTTCAATAGACTGAGAGAGCAAAGGCTTCTCTCCATCAACAGTATTGTTCCTTGCTTTTCACAAAGGCCAAACCATTTGGGAATAGCAGGGGGAGGAAACAGCAAGCAGAGCAAGGCTAGCAACTATGATTCCTCTTATGAAACTCTACCCCACTGAGGTGACTGCTTGGAGGACCGTTTTAATTTTATTTATTTATTCTATTTATTTATTTTTGTGTGTGTGTATGAACATTTTCCCTGCATGTATGTAAGTGCACCTGTGTCATGCCATGCCCACAGAGACCATAATAGAGCATCAAATCCCCTGGAACTAGAGTTACAGAGGAGGATTTTAGCTGTCATGTGGGTACCCTGTTGGAGAGATATCCAGCGGTTGGAGAGATGGTTCAGCAGTTAAGAGCACTGGCTACTCTTCCCCGGGTTCAGCTCCCAGCACCCACATGGTGGCTAACAACAATCCGTGCATGCACTTGGTGATCAGGACAACTTGAAGGAGTTAGTTCTCTCCTACCACATGGGTCCCTCAGATTGAACTCAGGTGGTCAAACTTGGTGGCAAGTTGCTTTACCCACTTAGCAATATGGCCAGCCCTAAAACATTTTAAAATTTTTTTATTTTTTTTATTGTATGTATATGCATGTATTGCCTGCGTGTAGGTAAGCGCACCCCTGTCGTGCAATGCCCACAGAGGTCAGAAGAGTCTGTCGGATCCTCTGGGACTGGAGTTACAGACAGTTGTTAGTTGCCATGTGGGTGCTGGGATTCAAACCCAGGTCTTCTGCAAGAACAACCAGTGTTCTTAACCGCTGAGCCATCTCTCCAGCCCCAAGACATTTTTTAAAAAGAATAAATCTAATAAGGTAGGGAAAGGTATCACATGCCTGTAATCTCAGCACTTGAGAGATAAAGGCAGGAGGATCAAGAGTTCAAGGTCATCTTAAACTACAGGCCAGCCTGTGCTAAATGAGACCTATCTTCAAAAAAATTTTTTTTATAAATTAAAAGAACAAGTTAAACCAGGTTTATTAGTTACTGTTAGCTACTTTCCTTCCTGCTGTGACAAAAATCTCAGAGAAGAAAGAATTTATGGGAGGAAGAGTATCTCAGCTTACACTTGAAGGGACACAGTCCATCATGGTAAGAAAATCATAGTAACAGGGCTGGAGAAAACTGGTCATTTTGTGTCTGAAGTCAGGACTCAAAGATCATTGAATGCTTTTGCTCACTGGCTTTCTCTTTAGATTCAGTCCAGGACCCTTTCCTATGGAATGGTATTGCACACATTTACGTGGGTCTTCCCATCTCAATCTAATCTAGACAATCCTTCCCAGAAGCTAACCTAATGTAGATGATCCCTCACAGGCATGCTCAGAAGCTTGTATCCTATGTGATTCTAGATCCTGTCAAGTTGGTACTGTTACACACAAGGATCCTCCTGCCTGTGATCCCAGCACTCAGGAGGCTGAGGCAAGGAGGATTGCCAAAATGTCAAGGCCAGCCTGGGTTACATAGTGAATGAGACTCTGTCTCAAGAACTGCTCCCATCAATCAATCAATCAGTTAGCCGGTCAATTAAACTGGGCATAGTGGTGCAGGCCTGGAATCCTGGTACTCTCGAAACTGAGACAGGGAGACCACGAGCTTAAGGCCAGCTTGGGTTATATAGCAAGGCTCTGTCTCAAGTGAGCAAACACACACATGCAGAGAGAGAGAGAGAGAGAGAGAGAGAGAGAGAGAGAGAGAGAGAGAATAAATCAAATGAACCTGATTATCCATAACAACTTTTAGTTATTGAAGAGTCTACCATCTGCTGCCCTGATTGATACCTAATGTATGGTCCACTCATGATATGTAGAGAAAGACCAAAAAGGTACCTAATCAGCTAGCGCAGATGAAGGATGGAGCAGCCAATTTGGTCACTACCCTGCCATATAAGTGGCTACTTCCACGGTGTTATTCTAGTCACCTCAGAAAAATTTTTCAATTAGAGGTAAACACAATGAATGATACTTAAGCTTAGTACCACTAAAGTCAAACGGAACTGGGACAGCGTGAGATTTCTTGACAGGACTCTGAGCATTTGACTCATACTTTGAGTCATAAGCAATGCAGCGTCTCTCTGCAACTATGGACCCTTTTGACTCACCAGTGTTCTATATTAAAAATTTGTACCCACACCACCTGCATACGGATTTTTGATCATGTGGCTCAGCTTGAGAAGACCTTGCACATTTCTCTAAATCTCGTTCTCTTCTAAACAGTAATGAATCATTTTACTTAGAACCATTTACTTGCGCTTTTTTTCTTCTGTAGTAATAAAGGCCATGATTTTGTGATGGTGAAATAAATATTTTTGTTTGTTTTTATCCTGTAGGTGCCTGTTGCCCTTTGGGGGTCAAATTATATAGGTTGGGCCCTAATGGCATCCGGATCTACTGGCAAGCCTCCAGAGGCTCTGCCAATTACAGCACTGACCTCTATGGCTCCAAAGGCAGCTTCATGTGTGCCCCAAGTGCTGGCCTCAGTTTCTGTGATGTCACAGATATTCCCTGTGGGGACGTATATACTGTGATGGTCTCACCAGTTGCTGAAACAGGACTGAAGCTTACTTTCTGTCCCAAAAAATTATATTCAGGTAAATCAAGTTATGACCCTTTATTTGGAACCAACCCTTGGGCTGGAATATAGCTCACTGCGTACAGCATTTCTGTAGCATGTATAAGGTCCTCGGTTCTAACACTGGCACTAAAAACAAAAACACGAAGTAAAGATTAAAATTAACCCTAGGGCTGGCAAGATGATTCAGTGCCTGTTCAAGTTTTCGTTCTGCTGCTGTGATAAACAGTATGACCAAAAGCAACTTAGGGTAGGAGACAGTTTATTTGGCTCACAGATCCATCATTGAATTAAGTCAGAGCAGGAGCCATGGAAGAAAGCTGCTTACTGGCTTGCTCCCAGGTTCATAATCAGATACCTTTCTTACATAGTCCAGGCCCAACTGCCTAGGGATGGTATCACCCACAGTGGGCTGGGCCTCCTACATCAATCATCAATCAAGACAATTCCCTACAGAGACAATTCCTCTCCAAGATGATGGAGGAAATTCCTTGATTGAGGTTCCTTCTTCCTAGATGACTCTAGTTTGTATCAAATTGACAATAAAAATGAACTAATACAATGAGCAAAGGCACTTACCATGTAAGCCTGATGACCTGAGTTCAGTCCTTCGAACGCTCATAGTAGAAGGGAAGAACTGACTCTCAAAAGTTGTCCTCTGATTGCCACACATTTGCCATGGTGCACACCCATGTACCTATATTCACATACACAAAAAATAAACAAATAAATTTGGAAAAGAATTAAAACTAACCCTTAACTCAGACCTGTGAATTAAGACCCAGAGCAATCATACTTACATGCTATGTGTGAAATTTCTCCAAGGTATAAGAACCCAGACTTCTCTGGAATTGTGATGTGTTGCTCTTTAGTTTGGTGGTATGCTCCTTTTCTCTGTCCTTCTCTTCACCATCAGAAAAAGGACCAAACATTTACTATTTAAATAGTAAAGCAAATCTAAAATGATTTTAAATTTTGGAGCAGATTTTTAAAAATATTTTTATTATTTTCATTTTATGTGTATGATTGCATTGCCTACATGTATGTGAGTGCACCTGTGTTGTGCAATGCCTCGAAGGTGAGAAGAGAGATTCAGATTCCCCTGGAACTGGAGTTAAGGACAGTTTGTAGGCACCATGTGGGTGCTGGGAATCGAACTCAGGTCCTCTGCAAGAGCAGTCAGTGCTCTTAACCACTGAGCCATCTCTCCAGCCCCAAGGGAACAGAATTTTTTTTTTTTTGGTCTTTTTGAGACAGGGTCTCCCTGTAGCCCGAGCTGTCCTGGAACTCACTATGTAGACCAGGCTGGCCTTGAACTCACAGAGATCCGCCTGTCTCTGCCTCCCAAGTGCTGGGACTACAGGCGTGCGCCACCACGCCCGGCAGGAACAGATTTTTAATCATAGTCTTAGAAATGCCACTGGACTCTCTGGAATGTTGGAAATTAAAATACTTAAACTTTTATTTGCAGAGATTGAGAATGAGGACTGAGGAAAGTTTGAGGATCAGAGAAAAAGGAATTTATAAATCATAAATTAGGGTTGGAAATATGAGTGGGTGGATAGACTGATCACAAGCCAGGGCTGTCAGCCAGACCATCTCACCAGAGCTGGCAGGGGACATTAGCAATTCTCTCAATCTGTGTTCCCACACCCTCTGCTACTTTGCCCAGGGCATAATCATATATTTTTCATGTACTTCTAAAAGAAAGAAAAGAGATAACACAGCTCTAGAAGTTTACTGGGGAACACAGGAAGAATATATAACTCACAAGCCTTTACTGATTACCAGCCCCAAATTTCTAATTAAATATAGGTGACAAGAAGTTCAAGATGGCTCTTGGTGATGAACCACAGTCAGTTCCTCCTGAAGGGGTGTTCCTCCTGTCCTTGAATGTCATACTCTGATTCTTTATTATTAGAAGTTTTATTATTATTATTATTATTATTATCTTGTCCACAAGATAAGCTGGCCCAAAGCACAGCCCCATGGGAAGAGACAGGAATGGGTTCTTGGGGTGCAGATGAGCTCTTCAGAAGAGGAGCTTGCCACGGAGTAACAACACATCACATTTACAGGATATCTCACAATTTAGCAAGTATGTCCGTATTTACGTGTCATTGAATATGCAAAATAACCTTAAGAGGTACATTCAGCAGATTTTATCATCTCCAATTTATCAATGAGGAAATTGATGGCTCCCAAATCTCTATCTACAACAATTCTCTTCACATTTCTAAATCATATGCACTCCAATTATGCACAGGCATGAGATGGCAAACAGGGGGTTCTCCCTAAAAGTTCACTTGGAGGACATAGTTTACCTTACTTCACATGCACCCAAAGCCAGTTCAGGCCAGACCCACCTTTCATTCTTCACACCCCAATACATTGGAAATATATTTGAATAGAAATAGTCTATGTTTGATTGTTGTTAGGGAAGGAGAACCCTATTCCATTGTTCAGATTGATGTGGGCATTCTATGTGCAGGTAAAGGAGCTAGGCTATGTATATAACCCAAACCAAGTAGAATATCAGGTTGCTAGACCATTCCTTCTGCTGGTCTGCCTCAACATTGCCTTCTCTCATCACCCAAATGTGTTCTGTTTCATCATTGGTCTACTTTTCATTTATTTACTTAGCAGAACTGGGGATTAGACACCGGGTCTTGTGCATGCTAGGCAAGCACTCTACTACTGAGCTAACATCCCCAACCCCATTCTTTTTTTTTTTTAATTTATTTATTCATTTTTATTTTATGAGTGTTTTGCCTGCATACATAAGTATACCTGTATCATGCAATACCCACGAAGGCCAAGAAAGGGGTTTTGGATCCTCTAGAACTGGAATTAAGAATTGGTTGCCATTTGGGTGCTAGGAACCAAACCAGGTCCTCTGAAGAGCAGCTGGTGCTTTTAACTGCTGAGCCATCGCTCTAGCCACCATCACACTTTTTTAAAACTTTGAGACAGCACCTTGCCCTGACTGGTCTTGAATGTACAATCCTCCTGCCCCAGCCTCCTAAATAGCTGGGATTACAAGTATACACTACCATGCTCAGTTCTTTTATTCTTTTTAAGCTATAGCTTCACCATCTGAAATATATCAATAGGGTGACTCAGTGGGTAAAGTGTCTGCCACACAAACACGAGAACCTGAACTCATGTAAAAAGTCAGGCAACATGCACTTGTAACCCCAGTGCTGTGGGAATGGGGTAGAGCAGAAGCAAGTGGATCTCTGAAGCTCATCAGTCAGCTAACCTCGCTGAATCAGATTCAGTGACAGAGACACTATCTCAAAAAATAAAGGCAGAGAGCAATGGGTGCAAGATACCTGACATCAACCTCAGGCCTTTACTCAAACACACATGAATGTGCACCTGCACACACCTACACTAACAACTACCCACCACATTGTACACACAAATAAATACATCAGTAAGTATATTTTCAGTGCTTATATTTTTGTTTGTTGCAGTAACCTGTTCTGGAAGTACACTTGGAATGGGTAAGTCATTTTTCCCATGGATAGAAATAGGAGAGAATTTCTGTTGTTACATTTTAGAGTTACTTAATGAAGTCAGGATCAAAGCTAAAGCTACAGTTCCTATGCCAAATACTTCCATTACACAGGTGCCCTCCTCCCCTCTTCCCATAGCCTTTTCTCCTCTGTCAGAGTACTTCCCATCACATTCCACAAATCAAGATGAATTCCTTTGGATGCTGAAGTCTTTTTAGTCTTCTAGGGTCCTAGGGTTAATTGCAAATATTTTTTGGAAGGCAGATGCTTGTTCCCCCTCACCCGACACATACTTCAGAAGATGGTTCCAGCCTTACTGTGCATTGGAATCCCTTAGTGAGCTTAAAATTTGATGCTTGAGCTTTGTACCCAGAAGATCGGGTATAATTGATTGGATGCAAAGACTAGGTATCAGGATTTTTAAAAGCTCCTCAGGTGATTCTAAAGTGCAGCCAAGGCTGAGGACTGCTGCCTAAGCAAGGCTTCTACAGTCTTGCTGTGTGTGCAAATCAGGCAAAGTCCGACTTGACAGGTGTGGCAGGGTCAGAGGCTTTATGCTGCTAATAAGTCTGACTATGCTTTTAATAGCCAGGTCTTACAGGCAACCTGTTTTTTTTCCCTTCCCTTCCCTCCCTCCCTCCCTCCCTTCCTTCTTCCCTCTCCCCTTCCTTCTTTCCTGCCTTCCTTCTTTTCTTTCTTTCCAGCCACTTGAGGGCCTCTGCAGTACTATGGAAATCATTATATCTAGAAGGAAGTTCTAAATTTCAGCATTCTCCTCCATAAACATAGAACAAGTCAGATCAGGATCCTGGCTGGCACTGAAGTCTCTGGATATGTTAAAAGGGTCTTGTTGATTTAAGGTTGTTGGTCTTGGGACTGGAGAGATGGCTCAGTGGTTAAGAACACTGGCTGTTCTTGCAGAAGACCTGGATTTGAATCCCAGCACCCACATGGCAGCTAACAACTGTCCGTAACTCCAGTTTCAGGGGGATCCAACAGCCTCTTCTGTCCTCCATGGGCATTGTACAACATGGGTACACTTACCTATATGCAGGCAATACATGTATACACATAAAATTAAAAAAAAAAGATTGTTGGTCTTTAATTCTTGAGTTATCCTAAACTCACCCCTATTAATTGCTTTTTTTTTTTTTTGGTCTTTTTGAAACAGGGTCTCCCAGTAGCCACAGCTGGCTTGGAACAACTATGTAGACCAGGCCTCGAACTCACAGAGACCCATCTGCCTCTGCCTCCCAAGTGCTGGGACTACAGGCGTGTGCCATCAGGCCCAGCTAATTGCCCTTTTATCTTTTTATTTTTCCCTTTTTCTTTCTTTCTTTCTTTCTTTCTTTCTTTCTTTCTTTCTTTC